GCAGTTGGATGAGCCGCGCGCGGCTCGTGCAGCCGCAGGACCGCGCGCGGCTTGAAGAGAGGACCGCGACCGGCCCCCGGTTAAGGTAAGTAACGCTACAGTGACAGGGTATGTGTGTTGGGGCTGTGACTGTGTGTGGGGGGCTGTGACAGGGTATGTGTGGGGGCTGTGACAGGTTGTGTGTTGGGGGGCTGTGACAGGGTGTGTGTGAGGGGGCTGTGACAGGGTGTGTGTGTGTGTGTGGAAGGGTGACAGGGTTTTTGTGTGTGTGTGGAGGGGTGGAGGGTTGGATGACACGGTGTGTGGGTGGCTGTTGGATGACCGGGTATGAGGGGTTGTGATAGGGGGTAGGAGGGTGGAGTGGCTGTGACAGAGGTTAGAGGGCGGGTGGAGGGGTTGTGACAGGGTAGAGGGGGGGTGGAGGGGCTGTGACAGGGGGTAGATGGGGTTCATAAATACCTTCCCTGGTGGTCCGGTGGGAGACCTCCCTCCCCGGTGGTCCAGTTCTCTGGTCTGCAGCTCTGCTGGGTGTGAGCTGCAGACCACTTGGTAAGTCTCACGATCTCCAGGCTGAGCATTGCCATGGTAACCCGCGGCAATGTTCTGACAGGCTGGAGATAGCGAGACACCTCAGTCTGCAGCTCTGCACCTGGCGGAGCTGCAGACCGGAGGCAGTGCTCTGCTCTCAGTCAGGGCAGACTGACTGGAGGGGCCTCGCACCCGGCGGCATAAAGAGCAAGCCGCCGGGCCCCCTGCTGTGTCGGGCCCATGGTCATAGGCCTAAGACTCGACATGTGAGTCAGCCCTAAGGTGATTTAGGCGATCACGAGGCCCCAGACAGCGCGAGGCCTTAGGCGGCCGCCTAAATCGCCTAATTAGAGAGCCGCCTCTGCCTCCTGTATGCAGTGCACTGATGTAGGTGTTGATCATATGGTTGTCAGTCTGCACATTACTTTAATGTGCCTTGTGCCCAGCTGATGTAAGATGGATATTTCAGAGAGATAAGTGACAGTCATGTTATTATCACCTCCTCTGCTATGCCATATATTACAGGGGACCTGGCCCTGGGTCAGAATAACAGACATGTAATTAAGTGTTGTTTATGAAGCCCAGGGCTCTAGGTGAGGTCCCCAAACTGGAAACCCGGCTGTGCCCCTGGGACATATTAAACTGTCTCTGGATGGAGTTGTGGTGTGCCTCTGTTGCAGAATGAGCTAAATAGTTTAGAAATGTTGATGCTGGGCCATGATATGTAAATAAATGTTCTACCCATTAAGATCATTGAGGGTTCCGTTAAATCTGTATTTTATATATTTGTCGTGTTTCCAACAGTAATAAATGGAGGTTTCTGGATTCCCACCAGGACAATTGTGGGGCGCGACGTGGTCTGAAACAGGCAGCAGCCTTGACAAGCAACCATCCACTAAGAATCTCACCCCTCCCTAAAATTTGTCACCCTATAGCCAGGCCTAGTCAGCAGATACACCCCTAGTTTTCAAATCCTGTATTGCACAGTGCATACCTACCAACATTTTTAATAGAAGTGTAGGGGTCTACATGGGCTGTGTCGCAGATTGTGATATCCTGAGTAATTTTAGGTGGACTGATTCCTAAAACATTACACATTACTATTAGTATTGCTGCGGAGCTATGCTATACACTTAGACACACTAACAATATGAAGCTCCTAAAAAAGAGAAGTGACATTTGGATAGAAAAGGAGGACATTGGGGTTTGAACCCAGCATAGAGACTGGGCCTCCTAAAAAGGGACACTTGTGAGGTATGACAGTGTGACGTCACACCATGCAATAGGAGCTAAACGTATAATGCAACTGTGCGGACTAAATCTCTATGCATGTCCAAGGCTGCCTGATGTTAATGGGAGTCACATTCCTAGGCCTTTAGCCAAGCTTTGCTGCTGTCATTAATTCCTCACACTTTTCTAACATTCTGGATGATGGGCTGGGGAGAGTAGAATTCAATGGGGTATGTTTACTAAAAATCACTCTGCATTGAGTAGGAAACAGATTTTCAAATTAAAACAAAATGGGCAATCTCTGGCTATCACTAAATGTGCGAATTTTCCCAGATCAGCATTTTTTGTCCTATTTGCAATTATGGTTTAATTTCTCTATAAATTGGTGTTTAGTGGATAAAACTCAGTATCTCTCTCTCTACCCCAGCATCTTCTCTACCATATCACTAACTGTAGAGGGGACTCATTATCATTATTATTATTATTTATATAACACCAGCAAATTCCGTAGCGCTGTACACATCAGTCAATTTGCAAGGCTATTGCCTAATAATTATTCCAATTAATCTAAGGCAGACAGGAGCTATGCATGTTCCCTGCAAGAAAGGGCAGAAGCCTAGTGAGATTGTGTGTGTGTCTGTGTGTATGTGTGTGTCTATTTGCCTGCATTACATTCCAAAGCTGCCAGAATGCCGGAAAACAGATAATCTGTACCACTACTGCTGCTGATGAACAAAACTTAACAAAAAAAAATGTAATATAAAACATGCATAATGATTCAATGTGTGTCATTTTAAGGTTCTGGAAACTTTCAGTAGTGTGATTTGTCAGCAACTGTTTCCTCTAAATACATATAAACATTATGGCCTTGATTTTTTTATATTTCTGAATAATCTTTCAAAATGATCCAATATTTTCGGACGTTCTTTTAAAATGATTTCCCCCCCAAAGTATTAGCATATCAAAAAATGTATCCTATATATATTTAAGGCTGGGCTTGTAGTTGTGGGAGGGGCTTGGGTCCCCTTTATAAGGGCATCCAATCCTCACCCACTTTACCGTGGTTGGTCTGGCAAGTTACTCCTCCCACCACTCCCTTTATTCACATCACCCTCTTTATTACAGGCCTACTGGCTTGTCGGTTCCGGCACACTACAACCGACTGGTGTTATTAACTACGATGTTTATTACTAGTTATATGTTATGTAACCATTATGGTAATATTGCCCGAACACAAATATATATATATAAAATGTGGCAAAAAGGGAGCACACACAGGTCTTTTCCGTGCAAAAAAGTGATGTATTTTATTCCAAAGTTTTACATTTCCCCATAATGCTGGAGGAGTGTACACTACTACCAACACTTTACATGAACACTACCCCGGCATTATCATACTGTTCTGTCATATGTATCAACATTTTAAAATGCATTCCAATGATATGTTTATTCTATCAATATACAAATTACTATGTGTAGACCTATGCTTTTCCATACTCTTATGCATGTATGCTAATATATGTGACTGTGCATTTATATTTGTGTATGAGTTCATGTGCATGCATGTATATGTGTTTGTGTGTATGTATATGTGTTCATGTGTTTATGTGTATGCGTATACATATATTTGTGTGTGTCTGTATAAACATGCATACATATATGTATATGTGAATAGGTATATGTGTACATATATAGGTCTCTGTATGTGTATGTGTAGGCACATTTGTATATCTGTAGGTACAAGTATTGGTGCTTGTGTGTGGATGTATGTGTAGGTGTGCATGTACATATATCTGGGCATTTAGTTGTATTTATACGTATATTGTTGTATGAACTTGTGTATATTGTGTATGTACTTGTGTATACTTGTACATATACACTACTTGTGTATATGTATATGTACATGTTTGTGAGTGTATGTGTGTGTCTGTGTATGCTGGATATAGGCCTTCATGCAAATACTGTATACTCTTAGATGGGAATTCATGCATTCTTAATATAAGTCATTATTTTGTTTTTACTCCCCCCTTCTAGCACCGTCTTCTGCACTGTTTGCTTGTTTTTTTTCTCTCTCTCCCCGCTCACTCTTGTGTGATCTTCACACAAGATATTTACGACCCTCTTTGAGAATGGTGTCTATTTTCTATCGAACCTGTGTTTTATCTGGACTCATGTCGCTTTAACCCCTGTATCACAACTCAGCTTTGAATTCTGTGTGTCGTCTTGCTCAGAAATGCATTAGACTTGAGAAAGGGAGGTTCTCTCGAAAGCTTGTTATTAAAAATTCTGTTCGTCCAATTAAAAAGGTATTACAAGATACAAATGTTATCTGTTTTTTACATCTCTCTCTCTCTCTCTATATATATATATATACATATATATATACTTGAGGGTCCAGCACTCACTCTCCCGGTCCTGTAGATGCCTGGGTGCAAAACTTCAGCCAAAACTATAAGGTAGACGAAAAGTGCACTCACAGGTCTTTTGCAATAATCCTTTTATTGTGTAAACAACAAATACACCTGTCAACGTTTCAGTCCGCACAGGACTATTTTCAAGGTCTTGAAAAAAAAAAAATCCTGTGTGGACTGAAACGTCGACAGAACCGAGGTGTATTTGTTGTTTACACAATAAAAATGCAAAAGACCGGTGAGTGCACTTTTCGTCTACCTTATGTGTATATATATATATATATATATATATATATATCAAAACATTAAAATATTTTTCCAAAATATGAAATTATTGAAAAGCTTATCCAAAAATATTAACTTGATGCCTATATTTGTCTGCCTGAATATGATGTGAGTAATAGTTAAATAGTTCACAGCATCTTGAGGGCAGATACTTCATTACATAAAACCTTTCTTTATTTATTAGATTTTTCCCCCCTCTATATTTGGTACTGTTTTGTTTATAGATCTATCTGATAAGTGTCTGTAGCGGAACTGCAATGCTGAGACTGAATATCTCTGCTGTAATCCTCTGGAGCTGGAAGGTAGGCGCAGGTTAGTAGATATAGCCCATTCCCCCCAGTAAATGGACGATACACAGTTCTGGGAGTCAACTGATTTTATTTTGGCCACACACAGCTTTTATGCCTAGACCCCTACATGGGTGCTTCTATACAAAAATACATGGCCTTTCCTCCCAAGAGCCTCTGTGCCTGAGAGATAATTGCGTGAGAAAAAGCTATAACTTAGTTATCTCTCAGGTACAGAAAAATCTACAATATTTTAAAACACCCCAAAAATAAATTTTAATACTTCAGAACCCCACGAAAATCACATCACCGAATAGCTTGAATCTGAGCGCACACTTTGCCAAAACTCAGATCCCTTCGTTGGTTCGGGAACGCCATTCGAATGAGGTTTTGACCAGTCGGCCATGAGATGATGCCACAAAACAGTTCCAGAGAAAACAAGGCAACGACCGGTCATCTTTCGGGGGTTTTTGCACGAACACCGATGAATGCTCCCCCTGGCTGTTAGGGTATGAATGGTCCCCCTGTTCGGTAGTTTCTGCCTCACGAACGACATTCTCATAACTGTTTGGTAAGTTAGATGGGCAGCGGTACCAGTTTATCGGGTGTTCGCGTAGCCGAAAAAAGTTCCACGCCGTCGACGACCACGTGCCGCTGCCTGCGTTCGGGAGACAAAATGGCCGCCAATTGTTTGAACACGTGCGTTCGGCTATACGAACGGCGGTCACACAGGGAAAGCACTTGAACTAATAACCAATTTGTGGTTCAACATGGATGCTGTCCAGGAAGTAGGAGGGTCTGGGAGGGAGGGTCTGCCGGAGATTGGCAGGGATGTGTCAGCTGACTGGAGTTCGCGAACGGTTCGCAACATCACTAGTAGGCGGTACTTAAATGGTGAAAACAAGGGGACCACACAGAGTTGGTTCGGTAAACGAACGGGGGTGTACGGACAGCTGAACAAAAGGGAATAAAAATGTATTAAATGTATTAAGAGCGTCCATTCCGCTACAGTGTCCTTTAATCATGGCTGGGAAACGTGAGTCATCATAAAAACAATACAAAAAAATCCTACACTGTTTATATGTGTTGGAGATGGCTGTGTAAATTGCAGTATATAAAAAGCCGCCTTAAGAATACAGTTCCGTACTTAAACTAGATTTTTAGCTTTAAAGGGATAATGTTAAAGAGACACTATAGTCACCAGAACAACTATCCGCGCGAGCGCATAAGTCTCCCATGCTTACCTATGATAATCCCAGCCAGGGAGGCAGAGCGGGGGTTGAGCCAGCCTTGGTACACCTGTGTGGCGCTGGAGTAAGTAGGTGAGTTTTACCCTATTTAAGGGGGGCAAAGGAGGGCCGGCCACCTAAATGGTGTTTTAAGGGTTAAGGCAGAGGGTAGCAGTGAAGGGTTAAGGCAGAGGGTGGCAGTGCTGGGAGGCTGGCAGTGAAGAGTTAAGGCAGAGAGTGGCAGTGCTGGAAGGCTGGCTGTGAAGGGTTAAGGCAGGGCTGGCAGTGAAGGGTTAAGACAGAGGGTGGCAGGGCTGGGGCCTGGCAGTGAAGGGTTAAGGCAGAGGTTGACAGGGCTGGGAGGCTGACAGTGAAGAGTTAAGGCAGAGGGTGGCAGTGCTGGGAGGCTGGCAGTCTGGCAGTGAAGGGTTAAGGCAGAGGTTGGCAGTGCTGGGAGGCTGGCAGTGAAGGGTTAAGGCAGAGGTTGGCAGTGCTGGGAGGCTGGTAGTGAATGGTTAAGACAGAGGGTGACAGGGCTGGGAGGCTGGCAGTGAAGGGTTAAGACAGAGGGTGGCAGTGCTGAGAGGCTGACAGTGAAGGGTTAAGGCAGAGGGTGACAGGGCTGGCAGTGAAGGGTTAAGGTAGAGGGTGTCAGGGCTGGTAGGCTGGCAGTGAAGGGTTAAAGCAGAGGGTGGCAGAGCTGGGAGGCTGACAGTGAAGGGTTAAGGTAGAGGGTGGTAGAGCTGGAAGGCTTGCAGTGAAGGGTTAAGACAGAGGGTGGCAGTGCTGAGAGGCTGACAGTGAAGGGTTAAGGCAGAGGGTGGCAGGGCTGGCAGTGAAGGGTTAAGGTATAGGGTGTCAGGGCTGGTAGGCTGGCAGTGAAGGGTTAAAGTAGAGGGTGGCAGAGCTGGGAGGTTGACAGTGAAGGGTTAAGGTAGAGGGTGGTAGAGCTGGGAGGCTGGCAGTGAAGGGTTAAGGCAGAGGGTGGTAGAGCTGAGAGGCTGGCAGTGAAGGGTTAAGGCTGAGGGTGGCAGTGAAGAGTTAAGGCAGAGAGTGGCAGTGCTGGAAGGCTGGCAGTGAAGGGTTAAGACAGAGGGTGGCAGGGCTGGCAGTGAAGGGTTAAGACAGAGGGTGGCAGGGCTGGGGGCTGGCAGTGAAGGGTTAAGGCAGAGGTTGACAGGGCTGGGAGGCTGACAGTGAAGAGTTAAGGCAAAGGGTGGCAGTGCTGGGAGGCTGGCAGTGAAGGGTTAAGGCAGAGGTTGGCAGTGCTTGGAGGCTGGTAGTGAATGGTTAAGACAGAGGGTGGCAGGGCTGGGAGGCTGGCAGTGAAGGGTTAAGACAGAGGGTGGCAGTGCTGAGAGGCTGACAGTGAAGGGTTAAGGCAGAGAGTGGCAGGGCTGGCAGTGAAGGGTTAAGGTAGAGGGTGTCAGGGCTGGTAGGCTGGCAGTGAAGGGTTAAAGTAGAGGGTGGCAGAGCTGGGAGGCTGACAGTGAAGGGTTAAGGCAGAAGGTGGCAGTGCTGGTAGGCTGGCAGTGAAGGGTTAAGGCAGAGGGTGGCAGTGAAGGGTTAAGGCAGAGGGTGGCAGTGCTTGTAGGCTGGCAGTGAAGGGTTAAGGCAGAGGGTGGCAGGGCTGGGTGGGGAGCTGGTGGGAGGTGCCGGCAGAGAGGCTGAGCCTGAGGATAAAGTTTCACTATACCCGCTATGGCTGCACAGGGAGCAGGCTGCACTGCGAGCGTCTGACATTATCCCACCGACCCCTCTACCCACCCTGACTGCGCGGACCCCCAATAACCCACACCATCAGGACAGCTCACAGAGGGGCCCCAATACCCAGGCACAGGTAACAGGCACCCAGCCGCTGCAGGAATCTAAACATGGGGGAGGGGGGCAGAGGGAACCCCGTCAAAACAGGGGTCCCAACAAGATAAAACCCCTGTTCCTATAGAACTCTAACTCTCACGATCCTTATCCAACCTAAAGACTGGTTTAATTCTGGGAGTGGGAGTCCCACAACAACGGGGGGTCAATAAATTGGAAACCCCATACCTTAAAAAGTATTATCCCATATATTGGGGTTCATAATATGTGTATTCTGTATCCACACAACTCTGCGTGTAACATAGACAAACATTGTTCTGTCCTGTAATCCACACTGTGTACACACTGTTTGTTGTGACATTGGTAAACATGCCTGTGTATAGGGTTAATGTTTGTATTGCACTGATAAAAGTACATGTTGCATATAAATCACATATACTGTGTAATGTATATGTAATTCATTCTCAGGCACACTGCTGTGTGTGTGGCACATGTCATTATCGTTCTATTTAGAATTTTCCATAGAATGTGCTGTTCTTTAGTAGGCAGTGTGCCCTTTTAAAAAGGCACAACGTGTAATTTAGATACTTTCTCTGTAATGTGGAAATTCATGCCGCTCATGTATAATACTGAAACACTGGATTTTATTTGCATACAGTGTGTTATATTGCTCCCCCCCCCCACCCCCCCGTGCACCTGTGTCCCAAGGAGATATGTCTGTATATCTGATAGTTACATATACCTAGATTCTATACAGAACATTGTGTAACTGCATTATCAGTTTATGTTATGCATACAGTGTACATGCATGTCAGTATGTTACATACAGAACTGTGTATACTTGTAGTGTATATGCAACATATCCATCTGCATGTATTTGAGATATGCACAGTGGTGTGTTACAATATTTTATATATACCGGTAGTCCATTGCTTTCCCTGTGCATTTATTTTACATACTGCTTCATGCATATCTTATACTCATACAGAATACCACAGTGTGTGTACACAAACATTGCAATATGTTTGACATGCTTCCTGTGTGTCTTTCACTATATTAGGTGGCTGTTTGAGTATATATAGTGTAGTTTACACTTCATACGTCTGTGTATTATATCGAGCAGTTTGTGTGTTCCTTGTACACAAAATATACAAGCACACTATACAAAACATAGTGTAGCTTCACAATAAAAAACTGTATGTCATGATCACCGTGTGTCTGTCAAAACATTGTGTCTATATTATTTATATATAGTTTATATATCCCTTCCTTGCTGATATATTGTACAGCGCCACGGAATTTGCTGGCGCTATATAAATTATCTTTACCCTACTCCCTTTAGCATGTAAGCTCATTGAGTAGGGGCCTCAACCTCTCTGTTCCTGTACGTCCACTTGTCTGGTTACAATTACGTGTCTTTTAGTCCACCCATTGTACAGCGCTACGGAATTTGATGGCGCTATATAAATACTATAATAATAATAATGTGTATGTAATAAGGGTAATCCAGATGAGACATATTACCCCTTTATCATGATTATATCTAAATTTTGTATAGTATCCACTATTCCTTGGAATGAAATGTACTATTTTGTTAGAGAAAAATATTTTTTTTAGTTATTTTTATGTATTGTACATTTAATATATACCAGCATGTTCCACAGTCCTGTACAGAGCAACAACTTCCTGAATTACACTAAGCGTACTTTACCATATTATACAGGGCAGCATGTGTAACTGCTTCATATAGTTAAACTGTAAACACTATGTACCCGTATCATTATTATTATTATTATTTTATTATTTATATAGCGCCAGCAAATTCTGTAGTGCTGTACAATGGGTAAGTTTAGATTTTAAATGGCGTGTGCATAATACATGTAGTATGTACCGGTTCAGTAAGCACATGGAACGCATTGACTGTATCATAACAACATACGTATATCTTCATAAAGTTAGATTGTGTGTAGGATAGAAAAGCAAGCTGAATTGTGAACACAGGGTATGTGAGAATTTTGTAGAAAAATAATATAGAAAAATCTGCGTAGACTGCAGAAAGTTTTGCATTCCTGTATACAGCCCCTCTAATTTCTTTAAACGTCATTTCATACTCCAAATACTCTTACTTATAGTTGTTTACTTCCCCATATCTGTAATAATCACACAGTGCTGTAGATGTTTTTAGAGATTTTTTTTCTTTTTCACAATAATACAGTATGTTTGGGTATAGCATAACATTATTTACCTATTCGTATTGTTTTAGGAGAGAACACTAATGTTACTGGCCCATTAGTTGCAGATTATAGAACTGGTTTTGGTGAAATAGGAGGGTTGTACTTAAAATCTGTAAATGTAATTACATTTTTTTTTCTGAATGTACCTTTCCTGGTTAAATACTTTATTGTTATTATTATTATTATTATTATTATTTACGTGATTATTTACTGAAGTGAGAATTGGCAGAAATTTTCGAATTTGGTGTGTCTGACCTAAAATTTTGAATACTCTTTGAATTCTCGACAATTCACACTGCTGCGAGGATGCTTTATGTTATGGGATGCCTGTCATTCATCTGGATGGAAAGGCCTACTTTGCAAACTTGCGACAGTGACCATATATTAAGGAAGCACTGTATCACTGGTGATCTGGAGTCATTAGCTTTTGATGATGTTCATCTGCAGTAGCCTCTTATATATCCTCTTTTCTCCTCTAATTCCGCTTGCTCTATAGGAGAGAGGTCATGGAAACATGTACCAGTGCCATCTTTCTATAATGGAAGAGTGCCCACTGGGAGACGGCATGCAGAAATAAAATATGAGATGATACATTGACCTATATTACACAAGGTTTCTTACTGTTAAAGGGGCACTTCTGGGGCCTGTGCATTAGGTGTAGTGTGCAGATTAGGTTCGAGATATTTACCAACCATGCAGCTGTCAGATTTCCAAGTTGACAGCTGAAAGGGAAACTCTAGGCGCCTAAACCACTTCATCTCATTGAAGTTATCTGGGTGTAGTGTCCCTGTCTTCTTAAAGGACCACTCTAGGCACCTAGACCACTTCAGCTTACTGAAGTGGCCTGGGTGCCAGGTCCAGCTAGGCTTTACCCATTCTTTTATAAACATAGCAGTTTCAGAGAAACTGCTATGTTTATGAATGGGTTAAGCCTTCTCCCAAATCCTCTAGTGGCTGTCTCATTGACAGCCGCTAGAGGCGCTTGCGTGATACTCACTGTGATTTTCATAGTGAGAGCACGCAAGCGTCCATAGGAAAGCATTGTAAATGCTTTCCTATGCTACCGGCTGAATGTGCGCGCAGTTCTTGCCGCGCGTGCGCATTCAGCCGACGGGGAGGAACGGAGGC